TTTGGGGTTTAGGGTTTTTTGGGGGTTAGGTTTAGGGTTTAGGGTCTTTGGGGGGGTTGGGTTTTTTGGGGGTCAGGTTTAGGGTTTGGGGTTGAGGGTTTTTTTGGGGGTTGGGGTTTAGGGTTTAGGGTTTTGGGGGGTTTGGGTTTTGGGTTTTGGAGGGGCTCTCTTGAAGGGTGCCCTGAAAAAGGGACCCCCTTTCAGGGTTCTATGAGGGGTCTTAAGTTTTCGGTTTGGGGGGGGACTTTGGGGGTTTTGAGCTCTAGGAATTCTAGGATCTACGGTCTTGTTAAGGGCTCAACCCCAGAACCGTGCTTCCGGATCAGGATTCTACGAAGTCGTGCAAAAACCCTAGGGAACACTGTTACTAAATACTCGATCCATAAAAAATCACCGAAAAAAGCGGCCTCAATAATGTTAATAGGGTGTTGGGGTATATTATACTATAACTATAACGAAGGTACAGCCAAAACAGTATAGGTAAATATTAAGGCACCTATATTACAGCCTTTATCACAATCAAACCCTGCCAATCCGGAAACAATGTCCGCTGATTCGAGACCGTATGCCCTAAGCACGATTAAACCTTGTTCTAGGTCTCAAAAATCCGAATGTCGTTTTGTAGGATCATTGACTACAATCTGGTGTTTGCCGGGTCTTAATACGGGCTTGCAATCAATGCAGTAGAGCTTTAAGGATACAGTATATTTAAATGACACCGTTTTGTTATATCCGGGCGACAAAGCGATAACATTAATTATTAGTTGTTCTGACCTCTATACCGTAAGCCCTAAACCCTGAACCCTAAACCACCTCTATACTGCTAACTACCTCGGTGATCCCTTACACAGTGCAGGGCCGCGCGCCCCAAACGCAAAGTTTAGGATCCCCGATCCAAAACCCTAAACGCTAAACCCTAAACGCTCAACCCGAAACCCTCAACCATAAATCCCAAATCCTAAGCAAAGTGTGCCCAACACTTTACGACCTCAAGTAAAGCCTAATGCCAAAACCCCCAGCCCCTACATACAGCCTTAACTTCAAAACCCACTACCCCATCCAAAACCCTACGACCCTCAGACCAAAACCCCTTGACCCGGAACAGTGTAGGGTTTAGGGTTTAGGGTTTAGGGTTTAGGGTTTATCACTTTTCTGCCTATCCCTGACCATCTGCAAGAGCAAGGCTCAACAGGCTTTCTTCCACGGCCTTCCTCCACAGAGAGTAGGTCTCCTGCCACGGGTCATTTAGGGTTTCGGTTCCTAGGGTTTAGGGTTTAGGGTTTCGGTTCCTAGGGTTTAGGGTTTAGGGTTTTTGGGTCCGAGCTCATCAGGTCTGGTATATATACAACACACACACACACCTAAATACATGTTGGACATGTATATACATACGAATGTAGCATGTTACACAAATCCTAAACTTGCTCTGAACCCTAAACCCATGGCTGATACGACCCATAAACTCTGCTCTGCGGAGTGAGATATGTGCATCCTCAAAAACACATGACGTGGGTGAAAGCCGTCCTTGGAGTTAGTCCGAAAGCTTGTTAAAGGTGTAGGGTTTATGGGGTTTAGGGTGTATGGGGTTTAGGCTTTGTGGTTTATAATACTCGTCGCTAGAAAACGGGCCATTAACCAAAACAAGAGCTGTTTACATTGGAGGGTTTATGTGGATCCGTACAGCGCGCTTCGGGGACATTCGATTTGTGTGCGTGTGAGAACATAAACCGGCACCCTAAACTCTACAACCGTAAGCTGCCTTGAACTAGCCCCTGAAGGAACCCTGTCATGAATCCAAATCAACCCTAGACCCTAAACCCTAAACCCAAAACCTGAACGCAAGACTCTTTTAGGAACCTGGCATCCCTTTTGGGTTTAGGACTTAGGGTTTAGGGTTTAGAGTTTAGGGTTTAGAATGCCCAGTGGCCCGTCCTTGGAGAGTCTGTGCGACAGGCAGTCGTCCAGGTCGGTGAGGCGGATGGCGATTGGCCGCCTTCCGTAGCCTTGCTACACACGGGGTTTAGGGTTTAGGGTTTTGGGTTTTTTAGGGTTTAGGGTTTAGGGTTAAGGGCTTAGGGTTTAGTAAACCCTAAACCCTATAAACCCTCGAAGCCCTATAAACCCCAAAACCCCAAAGCCCCAGCTGAACTGAACAATAACGAGCCTTCTTTATTGGCAGTCCTCACGATGGTTTCCATAGTATAAGTTTTGTACAACGAGAGTTTTTGCCTAAGCCCAAAGATCGTTTACGTAGTGGCTCTTGGTGTCTCGCGGTCTTTGGATTTCAGGGTTTAGTGATTTGAGGATTTCAGGGGCTAGGGCTTGGAAGAGTGCAGCTTACAGTATAGGACTTTCAGGGCTTCGGGGGGTATAGTATAGTATAGCTTTAACACATAACAAGGAGACCTAGGGAGTAAGGGATTTGGGGTCCCATATCTTCTGAAACGTTGCTACCAGTCTGTCGAAAAGCACACGATCTTGTGCAAGTTCAGCTCCTGCATCAAGGGCAGGGGCACATAGCGTCCTGCACAGCTGATTGCAGTGGTTCAGTTCTCCACCTAAACCCTAAACCTGAAACAATAGACCCTAGACCCTAAACCTTAAACCCTAGACCCTAGACCCTAAACCTTAAACCCTAGACCCTATAAACCCTTTTGGGAGCTCGAGACCACGAGAAGTTTTCCGGAAAGGGTTCCTGGACCCTTGAAAAGATTCATAAACCACGCCAACCCCAATTGCGACTTGATTCTGTTAAGTTGGTGGTTCAGAAACCACCGTTAAACGAATCATTCCCCTCCCAGGCTGGGGGCATAAGGTGCTAACAATACTCGATGCTACAGCTCCTTGGTTGACCCGCAACTTACGATGACTGGGAGCATTTTGGAACCTGCGTGTGGGATAGAGCCTTGCGAAATCGGCATCGATTAAACTTTCGGTTCTATTCAATTCAACAACGAAGAAGTCCTACACCCTTGGAAGTTGTCCCTCATGTTACATTAAACTATAGAGCGTCTTATAGCATGTTATGCTGAATATCATCGTACACTAACCCTACGGGTCCATGTGCTCAAATAGTATATACTTTGGCCCCAAAGTACCTTTTTAGGGACTACTTTAAGGCCAAAGTCTATGTATACTATTTGGGTACATGGACCCTTGGGGTAAGTGTATATTTCGTTCGAGCTTAAACCCTTCATTCCCTCCTGCCTTGGCGTGTGAAGGATTCCGCGTCATCCGTGGCCACCCATGTGCTGTACCCTGGCACCGTGGAGGTTTAGAGGAGTTCGGGGTAGGGGTTCGGGTTCAAAGGCTACAGAATACGGTTCATGGTATAATTCCTGCATTACCCATAATACTGCTGATGGACAAAATTCTGCATGACCCAAATATAGTATAGTACCATAAATCCCATAGTTTAGGTATATAAGGTCATGCAGGATTTTGTCCATCAACCGTATGGCATATACCATAATTCCCATGGTCCTCAAGGCAATCCTAAACCCTAAACCCTAAACCCTAAACCCTAAACCCTAACCCTTAAACCTTAAACCCTAAACCCTAAACCCTAAACCCTAAACCCCCTAAACCCTAAACCCTAAACCGAGTCACGGAGGCCGAGGGCTGAGAGACCTCAATTTCTACTGAGCCAGCCCCTTACTCAAACTTTTTTTTGGGGTTTAGGATGAAGAGCTTTTTTTGGGGGGTTTAGGATTAAGAGGGTTTAAAATAGGGGTTCAGGATTTTCAGTGTTTAGGGGTTTTGGGTTTTAGGGTTTGGAGTTTAGGGTCCAGCAAGACATCAAACAAATCAGACGAGTGCATGACTGCGTACAGGGCGTAGTAAAGGAGCAAAAGCTTAAACTGCTGTACCCATACGCCCTAAAGTAATTCCTTTTTGGGGTTACCTT